AAGCCATGCTCTTCACAATTACATGCCGTGCATGAAAGATAATGTTGAAGGATGACAGAAGAAGAATCATGCCTTTGAGTTGAGATCCTGGAGAAGAGCCTTGAACTTGCCATGTATCATCATTGGAGAGGATGAAACCAAGTTTCTCCTTGGGAACAAGGATTTTGAAGCTCTATCTCAAATACTTTGGGTATGTGTCCAGGAGGGACTAGTCTTTGGAGAAAGACATCATGCTTGGAAGGGTGGAGAAGCAGGTAGGTCAGCAGAGGAAGACCCCAGATGAGATGGAATGACACAGTATCTGGAGTAATGGGAGTAGTTGTTTTGGAGTCAGGGAGACTGGCTCAGGATAAGGCAAGATTCAGAGCAATTGTACGTAGAGTCACTAGCAGTCGCAGGCAACTTGATGGCACATAACAATAACAATATGATGCTGAACAGTTTCAGGTTAAAATAGAAGGAAAGGTCTGGTGATCGGCTTGGAAAAAAAAGTCAGCATTTTACCATCCTATGAACCACAATAGTCACATCCTATGTGTGTGGAATCACTACCAATCCAGTGGTAGCTAAAGCAGCACATATAGTATTAACAAATCCTAATTTTCTTTGAAATATTATATCGTCTCACATGCTAATTCTAGACAAGCTGAATTTTGTCTTTTTTGGATAGAAAGAATGTATTGAGGAAGCTGTAATTCACTTGACCTCACAATCAACATATCAGTTTGGGAAAACACTGGGAACTATAATGTTTTAGAAAAGGAAGATATAAGATTGTAAGGAAGAGAGGCAATTTGAAAGCTAGGAGGCTAGCATCTTAGGCAGGTCCCTGGTTAAGGTATACTAGCCTTTGTAGGTTAGATTTTCTTCAAGCTCTAAGTTCAATGTACTCTACAACTAGAAACCCTTCTTTGTAAGCCAAACTCTAACAATCTTCATATGATCATCTAGATTTCTTCACTCAACAGCATGCTGTTCCATCCAGAATTCTTTTCTCCTGAACCTTTATGTAGTTGCCTCAACTTTGGTCTTGGTCATGTGCCTTCTCCCCACTTTCCCAAAGCACTTCCCCTCCTTTCCCACTAATCTCTCTCATTCTCAACTTTGTTATAATTGTTCTTGACTATCATTGAGTTGATACTGACTCAGAAAAACCTGATATGAGTCAGAACTGTGCCTCACAGATTTTTTTTTAAATGGCTAATATTTTGGAAGTAGATCTCTAGGTCCTTTTTCCAAGGAAATTCTGAGTGGAATAGGAAGCTCTGGTGGACTAGTTAGATAAAGAGTTGCACTACCAACCAAAATACAAGTGGTTCAGATTCACCGGAAGCCCCACAGGAGTGAGACTGGCAGTCTCCTCCTGTGTGATATATAGCCTATGAAACTCACATGAAAGTCAGCTGTCAATTCCGTGGTAATGCTCAACAACTACCGTCTAGTTGGACTAAGACCAGTCTTTCAGTTAACAGCCAAAATGTTAACTGTGACTTAACCTAGAAGTGTTTATAGATCTGTTATATATCCTAAATTTTTTTTTCATCTGGAGTTGGGATTCATGTAATCCAGATTCCTTTCTATATTATTCATTTGTCTTTCTTTAAGAGCTGAATGGAGTCATAAAGGAAAAAATGTGGGAGGAATTACTGCATGGATTAATAGATTGTTAGAAGGTAATTATATGATTGTGGTTGTTATGTGCCATCAAGTCTCCTGTGCCCCACAGCGACCCTATGTCTAGCAGCTCTGAAGCCTGCTGTGTCCTAAGCCAGTCTCGCTCATTCTGACACACCTACCTCCATTGCCCCAGTTACCGTATCAATCCATCTCATCTGTGGTCTTCCTCTCCTGTGCTGTCCCTCCAGACCTCCGAGCATGATGTCCTTCTCCAATACTGGATATTATATATTGGGAATTTAAAGTTAAAAGATGCCACCCATGCTCAAGTTTTGGGTGGTTTTTTAAAATTGTTTTTGAATTGAGTGAAAAGCTTACAAGCCATATTGCATTTCCAAGTTTCAATTCACATAGAGAAGGAAACATATAAAAATCATTGCAGTATTGAGTAGGTTTAGACTGCTCCCTTTTTGGGTTACATTGATGCACTTAACATTGCTCCACCTGAGTTCCTTTTCCTTTTTCCTTCAAACTCATATAATTAGGCACCTAAAGGGGCCAATAGGAGACATTTGTATCCATACTTAAGCCAGATTGTAAATGTGGAATTGTAAACCCAGAAACTGGAGTGAGTATGACAAGGGGAAATGAAATAAAAATCTACAGAATAGGTGGAACTAGAGGAAAAGTAGGGAGTGGAATCAAAGCTTCTCAACTGAACTGTCCCCCACCTAGGGTGAATGTATCCTCTATCGCTAAAGCATGCTACATCCACCCTTCTCTCACTGATATATTTATGTTCATAAGAGCAAGTGAATTTAGGTGCTAAAATGAACATTTAAAAAAATCACTCACTCCTTTCAAGTTGGAACTGACTCGTAGCAGACCTTCCAGTGGGTTTTCAGAGGCTGTAATTCACATTATAGCAGGATACTGCTTATCTTTTCCCCATGTAGCTGTTTGTGAGTTTGAACCATGAGATAGATGCCACCTTTGAGTCAGCAGTGCAACCCCCTACAGACTTCACCATAGCTGCTTAAGATGATATCAGGTCACAAAAATGCAGGATGACTATGCCATTACATAACTGCTAAATTGCCTCATTACATAATTGCCAAATCACTGAGAATCATGGCCTGGGTAAGTTGACATAGCTTTCACAGCCAGTGTTATTTTTTTTCTCAGCTTGTATCTCAATCTTCATTACTTCTGGATGATCATTGTTTATGTACAAAATAGTCAAATCATAGTTTGGTTCCCCTCCCCCATTATCACTGTAAATGTGAAATGTCGGATAAGGATAGTTGGTAAATGAGAAGTAGGTATAATGCAGGAGTTTTCCACAAACAAGTAAATTGGGATCTTATCCCTGGGTTTTTAAAACAAACTTGAAATTTTGTATTAGTGCCATCCAAAAGCTGTACCTAACTCTATTAGGACCATCTTGGCCAGTGCTCAGCTTATTTAATTTAGTTTTAAATGGTGGGAGGTGGAGAGAGAACACAAGATGATGAAACCTGAAAGTAAAAACTGCCTGCTAGTAGGAAGACTTAATACAAATCGTGGGAGTTAATTTCAAATATGAGGTAGTGAGATGTCATGTAAGATTACGACAAAGATGTTGGATACTCTCCATGAAAGAAAATAAGATGAGGCTTTGTGTTCATTGCAGAAAGCAGTCTCATGGAGCACTGGATCCAGTTCTCTAATTAGGAGCAAAACATTGCTCACAGTTTTAAACAGATGTCTATCTGAGGGCCGGTAAGAGCAATACTTGCTTGCCAAAAAGTAACATCTTTGTATTCTGTTTATTCTTCCACTTTCTTTCTTTAGAGATATAAAATCAGCAAGGATTTTTATGTGCAAGATTTTTGCTGGCCATGTTTTTCCTAGTCTGGAAACTTCACTGAAACCTGTCCACCACAGGTGACTCTGCTGGTGTTTCAAATACCATCAGCATAGCTTCCAGCAGCACAGCAGTGCACAAGCCACCACAGGATGGGAAACTGACTGCCAGTGGTGGGACCAAGCAGAGGACCGTGAGGGTGGGCAGGACGGGGCAGTATGTTCCTATTGTACAGTGTCTTAACAACACTTAATCACAATAAGTGTTTTATGGTAATAGAGTGCAATGAAATGTTCTTTCTTATCCACACTCCAAGTACCAAGTTAGGGATCCAAAGATGAAGGACGTTTATTGTTGCTATTAGTTGCTGTCAAGTTGACTTACGGTTGACCCCATATGTGTCAGAATAGAGATTTTAAGGCCTAGCTCAAAAAGTGTCTCTGGGTGAATCTGTCCCATCCCATCAGCCATTTGGTTGAACACTTACTTTTGCGCTACCCAGGGACTATTTCGGTAAAATTTAGTCTCTACTATAAAGACAGTTAAGGGAACTCTGATGGCTGAGCAGGTAAGGAGTTGTGTTGCCAACCCCAAAGGCAGGAGGTTCGAATCTTCAGTGAGATTGATGACACAGTGACTACCACAATGGACATGACATTGGTCATGCTTGGCAGAAATTATGAGGATGGTGCAGGTAAGGACATGTTTCCTATTTGTTGTTCATCGGGGAAGGATGTGTCATGGTATGACTGACTGGATGGCATCTGAGGACAAAGATTACACTCAAATAAATGTAAGGATCAATATGTTAAATAAATGGAGGATTTTTTTTTCTTGTTTGTTAATAGTAAAACATAAGTTTTTAATGCCTACAACAGTTGATTTTTAGACATTAACTTACTGAGCCTTTTTATACTAAAAATCTTTAAGGGGAAGATACGAGCTGAGTTATCATCAGTATTTTATAGTCAGAAATCTTTTCTGGAAGGATACTTAATTGTATTTTCTAGGATATTATTGGAGAAATGCTAATTAAATCTGTTAGTCAGCTTATAATTTTTATAGACGCAGTTGTTGTCTAAAATAATGACTTGAGTAAGAAAATATTTTGTTAATGATATGGTATAAATAATGCCCTCTCTTTAATGTGGTTGGCACTCATCGATTCTTGTTGGTTGATTTTATGAGCAAAGCAGAATGCTAGTCACAGTAAAATATGTCTGATAGTACATTGTAAAATTTAAAAACATGTGCCAATGTTTTACTTTGATGTAAAGTATTATTTTTAATTTCCTACTTAGTATAAGAACATTGATGATATAGCCTCCATTAATGTAGATGTTTATGTATTAGAGGTTTTCTACTTCATTTTTATTGTGGTATTTTTTATTTCCCTGACTTCCTATAACATCATATACATTTTTTTTTCCTGGAAAAAGAATGTTTACTAATTTTAAAAGCTACATCTCATATTGATTTGAAATTCTCATTTTTAGATCTTTAACTATAAAAACGCTTTGTTTTATTGCACCTTCAGGAAACAGATGTCGTACCAGATACGAGGCTTTTGGACAAGTTTGGTCAGATTACACCTCAGCTCTTTTTGCCACCAGATGACACTGGCCACAGTCCACCACTGGAGACTTTGTACATTATTGACTTCTTCATTGCTTTGGCAATTTGCAACACAGTAGTGGTATCTGCTCCTGACCAACCAAGACAAAAGGTAAAGTCTAATGCCTGCAAAGGCCAGCTTTCAGAAATGAACTTTGGGTTCAAATGTAGTCTTGTTATATAAGAAATGATAATATAATATATAAATGATAATATAAAAAACATAAAATAATATAAAAATGATAAATAATAAAATAATAATGTGTTGCTGTTGTTGTTGTATGTCATCAATTTGGAACTGACCCTCCAGTGGGTTTCCAGAGGCAGTAAACCACAGGGGAAGAGAATATCCACCCTTCTCCCACAAAGCAACTGGTGGATTTGAACTTCTTGCCTTTGGGATTGCAGTGTGGCTGCATACCACTCAGACACCAGAACTCTCTAATAATAAGAATAATGTTGAAGAAGAATAATGGCCTTCAAGTCAGACCAACCCATAGCTCACCCTCCAGTGAGTTTTCAGAGGCAGTTAATTGCATGAGAGGAGATTGTCCGTCCTTCTCCCATGGAACAGCTAGTGGATTGAAACCATGTGCCTTTGGGATTGCAGTGCTGTTTCTTACCGCAATGTTGTTGTTGAGTACCATTGAGTCAGAGCCGACCCATAGCTGACCATAAGGCAGGTTTTTAGGGGCATTTAATCACATAGGAGGAAATTGCCCATCCTTCTCCCATGGAGCAGCTAGTGGCCTCAAACTGCAAACCTTCAGGATATTTTACCCCTATAGGAGCTAGTATTTATTCAGCATTTCTTATTCTCTGAATGTTGTACCTGAATTATATTGTATAATTGTCCCAGAATTGTTTCAATTCAAATATTATTAGTCCACTGATTCTGTTTCACTGATATAGTAAAGGAGTCTGTCCGTGGTCACACCACAGATTTGTGGGATTTGAGAAAGTGAGATTTGAACAAAGGTAGAAAGGCTGTTAACTCTTTGCCTCTAGAATAGCTAATTCAAGCAGTCTTAAAGAAGATGACTTCAGGTATTTGGCTTTCCATATCCAGTTAGTGCTTTCTTTGAGACTTCTGAGACCAATGGCATCATCAAACAAGCTATAAGGTATTGGTTTCATTAAGATAATCCCTTTATCAGGTACCATTTGGGTTAGCATTACCTCAATCACTCTAAAATCCTATACATCCATGATACGCCAAGACTCTGTAGTTTTCACAAAAACTAGAATTTTAAAGCATATTTATGGCTTAGAATTCATGGAAAATGTATTCATTTCCCAAAGAAGAAAAACATGTCTTAGAGCCTGATGGTTTGCAGCTTGCTCTGATAGTTTACTTGTGTGTATGCTCTGGTGGCTTAGTGGCAAGAAGCTGTGCTACAGTCCCAAAGATACACAGTTCAAGACCACCAACTGTTGTATGGGAGAAGGATGGGCAGTTTCCTTCCATGTGATTAACTGCTCTAAAAACCCACCAGAGGGTGTCAACAATGGATCAGTTCCGACTCTGTGGTATACAACAACAACAACAGAACACATTCATTCAAAATTCAGTTTGCTGCACAATCCAATTCAGTTTTAGATTTCCATGATATCTTTTGTGTGTTTTTATTTGTGTGTACTTGAAAAGTGGTCAGTTGTAGCATAAAAATTATTAACTTTCAGTTAAACTCTATTTGAACGGAAACTTTATGAGGTGTCCGCATTAATGTTGATCTTTGGAAAGTGATTACTGTTGGCCCTTGGTATCCTAGGGTTCTAAATCCATGGATTCAACCAACCCTATATCTAAAAATAGTAAGAAAAGAAAAAAAAATTACTCTTGGAAAGCAATTGAATGATCAAAGTAATCCCTCAAAGGCTAAGAGGGAGGGAAGTTGTTATTGTTTTGTGCCAGCAAGTTGCCTGCAACTCACAGTGACAACTATATAGTATAACAACTCTGAAGTCTACCCTGAATTCTCACTGTCTACCAACACACCCTAATCCCATTGCCCAAGTTACTGTATCAATCCATTTCAATAAGGGTCTTCCTCTCCTGCATTGTCCCTCTACTGTACCAAGCATGATGTCCTTCTCCAAGGACTAGTCCCTCGTGCCCACATGCTCAAAGTATGTGAGACAGCGCTTCAAAATCCTAGCCTCTAAGGCTTGGTTTCACCCTCTCCAAGACACTCTTGTTTGTTGTCCTGGTGATTCATGGTATGTATGTTTAAGATTCTTCTCCAGCACAGCAATTCAAAGGCATTGATTCTTCTTCTGTCATGCTTAGTCATGGTCCAGCTCTCTGATGCATCGCAAGTAATTGTGAAGACCATGTCCTGGATCAGGTGCACCTTAATCTCTAGACTGACATCATTGCTTTTCAGTACTCTGGAGAGGTTCCTGACATCAGATTTTTCCAGTGCAATTTGTCTTTTGATTTCCTGACTGCTGGTGCTCAGAGTGTTGATTGTGGAGCATTCTTTATATTGTATCAGCACTATAATCTAGAGATTATTTAAAAGTGTATAGGAGGATATGGATAATTTGTGTACAGATGCTATTTTATATAAGAGACTTGCTCATCTCCAAAAATTTTTATTGTCTGAGAGAGTCCTGAAATCAGTTCCCTGGGGGTATCAAGGAATGATGGTATATATAGAGAATAAGTCAGTCTTTATAATAAATTAGAAAATATCTTTCTTCTTCCTACATAAAAATTTTCTCATCTTTTGGCCTCTCATATGTGAGGTATATTACTTCTTTATCCCTGGTGAAATTTCTGTTGTCTGAAAGAAAAATTTCTGTAGGCATATGAAACAGAAAATCCATGGCATTTCAAAGTAAAGGTAGAAATACAGTAAATAAGCAGCTAATCAGAATTCATGTGGAAGATAGAAACCTCATGTGTGATTGAGGATCACACTTCTTTCCCTATTGTTGTTGTGTGCTGTTGAGTCAGAACTGACCCATAGCTGACCCTCCAGTGGATTTTCAGAAGCAATAAATCACACTGGAGGAGATTGCCTATCCTTCTCCCACGGAGCAGTTGGTAGATTTGAACTGTATGGCTTTGGCATTGCTGCTTGAAAATCAAGTAGCATAAGTAAGAATTTACTTAAAATACTGTTAACCATGAGTCAGAATCAACCCATAACTGACTGTCCAGTGGGTTTTCAGAGGCAGTTAATCACATGAGAGTAGAGTGCCCATCCTTCTCCCATGGAGCAGCTGGTGGCCTTGAATGATGTGCATTTGGGATTGTAGTGCAGTTTCTTGCCACTAGGCCACCAGAGCTCCCCACTTAATATAATAATTGAAATAATACTCATTATGAAATTATGCAAGAAATTAGAATTCTTTGGACATTTAAAATGAGAAACTTTAGGATAAAATTAATCATCTACAATTCATGTTAAGTTTAATGACTAATAAAAGTTAACACCTAGAAAATAGCAGGTTGTCAGTGGCAAAAGTTCTATAAACGTAGAAATTCACATTTGTGTTATACTGATCATGCTTCTTCATGAAGCTACTTTTTCTTACTTGTTTATAAACAAACAAATAGCAGCCTTTCGTAGAATCTGAGAAACAAAAGGGGAACTACATCTTATTAACCTTTGATTTACTTTCTTCCAGTGTTACTTCATATAGTAATTTTTACTTCTTCTTTTGTTCTCATGTGCTGTCTAGTTGCAGCCTACTCACAGCAACTGACCCTTTCAACTGTGACCCCACAGCTATGAAGCTATCGTTTCTGTTAAAATAGAGGCAACAGGTTCTCAGAGGCTAAAAATGGCATGAAAGGGGATTTCCCATCTTTCTCCCACAGAACAACTTGTGGATTCAAACTACTTGCCTTTGAGATGGGAGGGCAACTCCTTACCATTAAGACACTAGAGTTCCCTCATTTTCACTTACTTGTTCGTATACTTTTTACATTATTATAGCTTTTTAACATTACCATATAGTCTTTATAAATTCTACATAAAAATTTGAAGATGTTTTCTATTTTTCCATTATTAAATTCTTAATTTGGATAAAATTTTGAAGTTGTTTTTATTAGGTCCTGTAAATAAACACTGGAGCGCAGAGAAGCCAAAGAATAAGGAAGAATTCAAGATACTAAAGAGCTAAACAGAAGATTTTAAAAAGCAGCGCGGGATGACAAAGTAAAATATTACAATGAAATGTGCAAGGAGTTGGAGTCAGAATATCAAAAGGGCCGAACTCACTCTGCATTTCCTAAGCTCAAGGAACTGAAGAACAAATTCAAACCTTGAGTTGCTACAATCAAGGATGATTTAGGCAGAATATTAAATGATCCAGTAAGTATTAAAAGAAGATGGAAAGAATATACTGAGTCACTTTATCGAAAGGAATTGGCAGACACAGAAGAATTTAATGAAATAACATATGAGCAAGAGCCTATGGTGATGAAAGAAGTTCAAGCTGATTTCAAGGAAATAGCAAAAAATAAGGCCCCAGGAATAGATGGTATACCAATTGACATATTTCAGCTAACAGATGCTGTCCTGGATGTGCTCACCAAGTTGTGCCAAGAAATCTGGAGAACAACCACTTAGCCAACTGACTGGAAGAGATCTATATTTGTTCCCATTCCAAAGAAAGGTGACCCAACAGAGTGTGGAAACTATAGAACAATCTCATTGATTTCACATGCAAGCAAGATTCTACTGAAGATTATAAAAAAACTACTGGAACAGCACATTAGCAGAAAACTGCCAGAAGTCCAGGCTGGGTTTAGAAGGGGTCGTGGTACTAGGGATTTTGTAGCTGATGTTAGATGGATCTTAGCTGAAAGCAGAGAATACCAGAGCAATGTCTATCTGTGTTTCATTGGTTATGCAAAGGAGTTTGACTGTGTGGACCATAACAAACTGTGGCTGACTCTGAGAAGAATGGGAATCCCAGAACACTTGATCGTGCTAATGTGAAACCTATACTTGGACCAGGAGACAGTCATCAGAACAGAGCAAGGGAACACTGCATGGTTCAAAATTGGGAAGGACGTTCGCCAGAGCTGTGCCCTGTCTCCATACCTTTTCAGCCTGTATGCAGAACCGATTATCTGGGAGGCTGGACTCTATGAGGAAGAATGTGGGGTCAGGGTTGGTGGAAGATCTATTAACAATCTGTGTTATGCAGATGACACAACCCTGCTTACTGAAACTGAGGAAGACCTGAAGGGCTTGCTGCAGAGGGTCAAGGACTGTAGTCTTCACTATGGATTGAGGCTCAATGTCAAGAAGACAATGATTCTCACCACTGGGTCAATTGGCAACATCAGGATGGATGGTGAAAAGATAGAGATTGTTCACAGCTTTAGTCTGCTTGCCTCCATAGTTAACAATTTTGGCACCAGCAACCAGGAAATTAAAAGACGTATTGCATTAGGGAAAGTCTGCTGTTAGGGACCTCTCCAAAGTACTGAAGAGCAATGGTGTCTTTCTGGAGACTAAGGTGTGTCTGATACAGGACATGGTATTTTTAATCACTTGCTATGCATCAGAGAGTTGGACAATGACTAGGAAAGATAGAAGGAGAACTGATGCCTTTGAGCTGTGGTACTGGAGAAGAGTATTAAGGATACCATAGACTGCTAGGAAAACAAACAGATTCATTCTTAAGAGGGTTAAACCGGGCTGCTCCTTGGAGGCAAGGATTCTGGGGCTTCGTTTTACATACTTCAGACATGTTGTAAGGAGGGACTGGTCCTTGGTGAGGGACATCATGCTTGGGAGGGTGGAGGGACAGTGTAGGAGGGGAAGGCCCTCTATGAGGTGGATTGATTCAGTGACTGGGGTAATTGTGATGGGTGTATCAGAGACAGTGTGATTGGCACAGGATAGAGCAGAGTTTAGGGCTGTTGTACGTAGGGTCACTATGAGTCTTAAGCGACTCGATGGCAATTAACAACAACAACAACAACAAAATAAACATTATAAATTTTCAAAAAATTAAATTCTTAAGAAAAATTATTTTAGCTATTGCCTTTGGTTCTAGATGATTTTAGGATTTTGTGCCTTATTACTGTCAGAAGTTGCTATGAATTTCTTCGGACTACAACAAACTGTGGCTAACTCGAGGAAAATGGGAATCACAGAACAACTGATCATGCTAATGTGAAACCCATACTTGGACCAGGAGGCATTCGTCAGAACAGAGCAAGAAAACACTGCATGTTTCAAAACTGGGAAGAGTCTATACCAGGGATGTGTCCTATCTTCATACCTTTTCAGTCTATATGCAGAACAGACTATCTGGGAGGCCGGGCTCTTTATGGAAAAGCGTGGCAATCAGGATTGGAGGAAGATTTATCAACAATCTGTGTTTCGCAGGTGACACAATCCTGCTTGCTGAAACTGAGGAGAACCTGAAGCACTTGCTGCGGAAGGTCAATGAGTGCAGATTTCAATATGAATTGAAGCTCAATATCAAGGAAACAAAGATTGTTATCACTGGGTTGATTGGGAGCAGCATGATGGATGGTGAAGAGATTGAGATAGTTCACAGTTTTAGTTTGCTTGGCTCCACAATCAATATTCTTGACACCAGCAGCCAGGAAATGAAAAGATGTAATGAGGGTCTTCTGTCAGAGACTTCTCCAAAGTACTGAGGAGCAGTGATGCCAGTTTGGAGACTAAGGTGCACCTGATACAGGCCATAGTCTTTGCAATCACTTGCTATGCATCAGAAATCTGGACAATGGCTGGGAATGATAGAAGGAGAATTGATGCCTTTGAGCTGTGGTATTGGAGAAGAGTATTGAATATACCATGTTCTGATAAGAAAATGAACAGACTCATCCCAGAGAAGATTAAATCAGGCTGCTACTTGGATGCAAGGACTCTGAAGCTTCGTATAACGTACTTTAGACGTGTTGTAAGGAGGGACCAGTCCATGGAGAGGAATGTCATGCTTGGGAGTATGGAGGGACAGTGCAGGAGAGGAAGACCCTCGATGAGATGGATTGATTCAGCAACTAGGATAATGTGGGTAGGTGTGGGATTGGCACAGGATAGAGCAAGGTTAGGGCTATTGTACATAATGTCACTATGAGTCACAGATGACTCGACAGCACGTAACAGCAACAAATGTTTGTAGACATGTCAGTGGCATTAGCTTATCTTTTAAAGTCATAGGGAATTTTTTTCTCTTAATTTTATTTTATTAAGGAAATGGTAACATCAACAGGGAAATTTATTATTTTAAGAGAGTAACAGAGTTATATTTTGGTTTGATGATCTTTCTGCTTTGCCAATGCATGATAATGCTAAGTAGAAAAAATCGTGAAAGGGAAATACAATGATCAATAGTGGTAAGACCAGGAAAAATGTCAAAAGTTGTCTGTAAAGATTGGCAGTTTTCTTTTATTGTAGATGTGAGCTTCTGAAGAAGGTTCTGTGCAGAAGTTTTTTGTTTTGTTTTGTCTTTTATTATACTGATTTACTTATCAAATTCTAATACATTGTTTTTCACATTGAAACTTTCCCATTTCCTTCATTCCCCCCTCATTGAATTAAGTGACCCTTTGATTAAACCCCTCCTCACCCCTCTGCTTTTGCCCTACTCCCCTCCTTATATCCTCATACTCATTCTATAATAATGGTCTTATACAGTATTTGTCCTTATGGGACTGAGTTAGTTCACTTAGCATAATGCTCTCTAGGCCCTCCCAGCTTAGGTAATAATTGACAAAATCATTGCTCCTGCATGCTATGTAGTATTCCATTGTGTCTGAACCGTAGTTTTACCCCATCCAACTGGACTGGTGTTCTTTTTCTCTAATTAAAAATATTTTTTTTTCAAAAAACATTTACTGAGCTTTGCAAAAAGGAATACACGACTTATAATATCTAGCAACGTGAGCCAGCTGGCCATTATTTCCAAGTAGAGCTGAGAAAGGTGCTGCTGTGACAGAGTTTCCATAAAGAGCTGGGATAAACTCAGCACACTACACTGTAAGGAATGAGTGAAATCAAGCAGTATTTTCATTGCAATCCTGCTCAGCTCCCCCATTCTCTGCTCCATCACAGTCAAGAACAAAGAATGCTACAGCAAGCCCACAAGCAAGCAAGAGTTTTGCATTTTCCCCCCTTGTTGCCGTTGATCAATTCTGACATCACAGTGACCTCATGTGTGCAGAGTGAAGGTATATTCCACAGTGTTTGCCAAGTTGTGGCCTTTCAGAAGCAGATGAATATGTCTCACTTCAAAGACACTTCTGGGTTTTGAACTGCCAACCTTTTAGTTCCGAGTCCAGCACTTTACTATTGGCACCATTTATGCCTGTGCCCTTAAGAATCATAGCAACTTTTATTTTAGGAGGCTCTGATGGGTTAGTATTAAAAAGTTGCACTGTCAATCCAAATTCACTTGTTTGAATCCACCAGCTTCTCTGTGGGAGAAAGATGAGCAATTGGCTCCCATGCAATCTACTGCCTCTGAAAACCATCGAGAAGTCAGCTATGAGTTGTTTCCAACTCGACAGTACATCATGACAATAACTTTTGGTTTTGTAATTTTTTCTGTGACACTCATATTTAGTTCGTGTACTTATTATTTCCCAAATTTGACTAATGGCTTTGATTGTGATCTTTTGTAGATAGGACTCTCATCACTGAGTGGGATGCCCATTAAATCCTTGGAAGAGATAAAAAACCTCTTCCAGCGTTTGTCTGTCCGAAGGTCAAGTTCACCATCCCTTGCCAGTGGAAAAGAGCCATCTTCTAGTGCCCCAAATGCCTTTGTGAATAGAGTCCCTTTCTTCAGTCGGATGAAACTGTCTTCACCTGTGGAGGAAGAAAGCTCCCAGATGTCTGAGGGCCCCCAGGATTCTGGTAACACAGCTTGCTATCAAGAAACAGAGAAACCAGACAGTGATGCAGGCATCACCAGCGGCCAGCAGGACTCCCTTCCTGGACAGCCTCTGACCACAGACCTGTGCTATGAGGCTGAGAGCCCAGATGAAGCGGCCTTAGTGTATGCTGCCAGAGCTTACCAATGCACTTTACAGTCCAGGACTCCAGAACAGGTGGTGGTGGACTTTACTGGGTTGGGACCATTAACATTTCAACTCCTACACATCCTGCCCTTTGACTCAGTAAGGAAGAGAATGTCTGTTGTGGTCCGGCACCCCCTTTCCAACCAAGTTGTGGTGTATACGAAGGGTGCTGATTCTGTAATTATGGAGTTGCTGTCCATGGCCTCACCAGGTAGGTGCACACATTGCTGAGATGGTGGTAGTGCTATTGAAGTGCTCTAATGTTAAAAGACCACTCTTAGTGGTTCAGGAAAGGCAAAGAAGCTGATATTCAGGGATCAGTCAGAGCTGATGAAATAGTTGGTGGGAAGGCATATAAGCTTTGGGAATATACAAACTGAGTTCCGATAAGGACTCAGCTGTTAGTTACATCTTGATGAAGTTGCCTAACTGTTCTGACTGACTTAATTTTCAGTATTGTTGTTGTTGTTATGTGCAGTCGAGTCCCTTGCGACTCATAGCGACCCTATGTACAACAGCCCTAAACTCCGCTCTGTCCTGTGCCAATCGCACTGTCTCCGACACTCCCATCCCGATTATCCCAGTCACTGAATCAATCCACCTCATAGAGGGCCTTCCTCTCCTGTGCTGTCCCTCCACCCTCCCAAGCATGATGTCCCTCTCTAAGGACCGGTCTCTCCTCACAACATGTCCAAAGTATGTTAGACGGAGCCTCAGAATCCTTGCCTTCAAGGAGCCACCTGGTTTAACCCTTTCCAGGACAAATCCATTTGTTTTCCTAGCAGTCCATAGTATTCTCAGTACTCTTCTCCAGCACCACAGCTCAAAGGCATCAATTCTCCTTCTATCCTCCTTGGTCATTGTCCAACTCTCTGATGCATAACAGGTGATTGCGAAGACTATGGCCTGTATCAGACACACCTTAGTCTCCAGAGAGACACCATTGATCTTCAGTACTTTGGAGAGATCCAGAGATCCCTAACAGCAGACTTTCCCATGGCAATGCGCCTTTTAATTTCCTGGCTGCTGGTGCCAAGGCTGTTGACTATGGAGCCAACCAAACTAAAGCTGTGTACAATCTCAATCTCTTCACCATCCATCCTGATGCTGCCAATTGGTCCAATGGTGAGAATCTTTGTCTTCTTAACATTGAGCCTCAATCCATATTGTAGGCTGCAGTCCTTGACACTGTAGCAGGCGCTTCAGGTCCTCTTCATTTTCAGCAAGCAGGGTTGTGTCATCCGCATAAAGCAGGTTGTTGATAAATCGTCCACCAATCTTGACCCCACATTTCTCCTCATAGAGCCCAGCCTCCCGTATAATCTGTTCTGTATATAGGTTGAAAAGGTATGGAGATAGGATGCATCCCTGGCGTACGCCCTTCCCAATTTTGAACCATGCAGTGTTACCTTGCTCTGTTCTGACGACTGCCTCCTGGTCCAAGTATAAGTTTCGCATTAGAACGATCAAGTGTTCTGGGATTCCCATTCTTCTCAGAGTCAGCCACAGTTTGTTATGATCTACACAGTCAAATGCCTTTGCATAGTCAATGAAGCACAGATAGACATTCCTCTGGTATTCCCTGCTTTCAGTCAAGATCCATCTAACATCAGCTACAATATCTCTAGTACCACATGGAGCTTATATTGCCTCTCTTCAGAGTTGTTGTACAATGGATTGCTATGAGTTGAACGTAACTTGACAGCACATAACAACAACAACATGGGTTCTTGAGCAGTCTAAATTAGACGCATAAACATATGCAGTGTAGATGGAGTCAGTAGGGGGGATTATTATTTGTGTGGATTAACTATAATTGAAGTTAAAGATCTATCTCTACTAGGACATTGTTCCAATTGGTACAGCATTTGTCTGTCAGTTTGCTGTATTGAGGTAACTTGTGGGTTGCTGTGACACTGATATGTCAAATGCCTTAAGGGTTACCTATGGTGGACAGGTTTTAGTAGAGCTCCTAGATTAAGACAGACTAGGAAGCAGGATTGGCTATTCACTTCTTAAATCACAGACCTCAGAAAACTCTATGGGCATGTTGACTGCCGCAGTGGGCTTTAAGGCACAGGATAGGGTGGGGTTTGAATCCACTGTTCATAGGGTTGCTATGAGTCATACTCAGCTCAACAGTGCCTAACAACAGTCTACTAGGACAGACAGTTGTGATACTTGTGTTTGTTAATTATTTCAGGAGGAGCAGCTCTGGAAAAGCAACAGATGACGATAAGGGAGAAAACTCAGGAGCACTTGGATGATTACGCCAAACGAGGTCTCCGTACTTTATGTATAGCAAAGAAGGTGAGACCATGTAGTACACCTTTCCTTTCTGTGGTATTGCTTGATTTGCCACCATTTACTGAAACTCAGCTCTCTTCTAGGTCTAGGAAAAGCCTTCTACTCTTTATCTTGCTTGGTTGGATTTTCTCTTGAAAATGGTTTGAATGATAATAGTCTCTGAGTTAGTTCATATTTCATTATTTGTTAGTGCTTTTGTGTGTCAGCAGCAATTTGGCTGGGAACAAAAATCTCTGATCCTACAGTCTTTTTTTAAAAAGACTTGGGAGCATTACTCCTTTATGTTTAACATTAATGATATTGTTTGGTAATTTCTACTTTATATTGGATCACCTTTCTTGAGAATGGAAACAAATGTGGATCTCTTCCATCATCCAGATTTCCTGGCATAGACTAACTGGTGAGCACATCCATGGCAGCCTCTGTCATTTAAAACACATCAGTTGGTATCCCATTGATTCCTGGGGCCTTATGCCAATGCCTTTATTGCAACTTGAACTTCTTCCTTCCTTACCATTGCCTCTTGGTCATATAAAATTTATTGAGATATTTCAGTGTTGGCCAGTTCTTTGTGGTACAGTGATTCTGTGTATCCCCTCCATCTTCTTTTGATACTTTCTGGGTCATTCGATATTTTGCCCATAGCATCTCACAGTGTTGCGACTCAAGGCTTGATTTTAGTTTTCAGTTCTTTCCGCTTGAGAAATGCCAAGTGAGTTCTTCCTTTTTATTCTCCAATTCTAGGTGTCTGCATATTACACTATAATACTTTACTTTGTCTTCTCTCGGTGCCATTCGAAATCTTCCGTTCTCATTTTTTACTTCAATATCTCTTCCCCTTGTTTTGGCTTCTCAGTGTTCCATGCAATTTTCAGCATCTCTTCTGGCATCCATTTTGGTTTTTTATTTCTCCTCTGTCTGCAGTGACCTTTTGCTCTCTTCATTGATGATATCCTTGAAGTTATCCCACAACTTATCTTGTCTTTCGTCATTAGTGTTAAATAATTCAAATCTGTATCTAAAATTATTTATAAATTCAGATGAGATAGACACAAGACCATATTAAGATTCTCATGGACTTGTTTTAATTTTCTTCAAACTCAGTTTGAACTTGCCCATGAGTAATTGATGGTCTGATTGACTGTTGACACTTGATATGCTTTTGATTGCTGATATTGAACTTCTCCAACAATTCTTTGCTTGGATGCAGTGATTCTGATTCATATGCCATCCATCTGATTTATGTGTAAAGTTACAGTTGTGTTTCTTATAGAAGGTGTCTGGAATGAATAAATTATTGAACATACAAAATTCAATCATTTTATTTCTGGCTTTCTGTCTGTCACCAAGTCCATACTTGCTGACTACCCCTCCGTCTTTATTTTTCCAACTTTTGCATTCCAGTCACCAGTATTAGTAACACATCTTGATTGCACATTTGGTCAATTTCAGACTGAAAAATTTTATAAAACTTTAATTCCTCCTCTTTACCTTTAGCTATTGGTGTATATACTTGAATAATGGTTGTATTAATGGGACTTCCTTGTATGGGAATGATATCCTATCAAAATAGAATGGTATTGGTAAAATGTTAGACACATAGACCAATGGAATAAAATCAAGAACCCAGAAATCACCCATCTCTGTGGTCAATTGATATTTGATAAGGAAACAAAACCTATCAAATGGGGAAGAGATGACTTTGTCAATAAATGGTGCTGTAGAAGTTGGACATCTACCTGCAGAAAATTGAAACAGGATCTGCATCTCAACACCATACACAAAGATCAACTCAAAGTGGATCAGAGACTGAAGGGTAAAACCCAAAACCATAAGGATCATAAGAGACAAAATGAGACCAAATGTAGAAGCCCCTAACTTGCTAGGTCTTTAGTGACCTGAGATTCTGCCTCCCAAAATGATAGAACCCAAAGGACAACAAATTCTAGATTAAATTATTATATAGCAAGAATAAATAATAAGCTTTTCAACCTCTTTACCCTACCCTGCTCTAAGAAATGAAATGTAGATTTCTCCTGCTAAGACAACCTGAAGATAGAAAAAGAAATCTATCATGGACCTCTTTGTTACTGGTTATTATATAGTCTAGTTAATTTTGTTATGAAAAAAATTTGTTGCTTCACTAGTATAGCATTTTTCTTTCTCTTTTTACTGCAAACAAATTGTTAATAACAAACTATGAAAAGAGGTCAAAGGTGCTGTTGGTTTCAGAATCTCTGAAAATGACCTTTCCAGGAACCACCTTCTGCATGCCCCTCTAGTGCCACTGTGGATATAATGCTGACTAGAGCTGTCTTGGTTAATTGAATAGGTTAAGCCAATTTCACCTTATACACTCCCTGTAATTTCCATGATGTGCTGAGCTGTAGAGTTCATCTATCATTAAGGTCACACAAGTGTGATTAAAGAGTTATGGGAGGTTGTAACCAAGTCATGCGAAGATCTGAGTGTTGTATGAGCATTCCCAGAGGGAGGAGTACCTGAAACAAGTTGAGGATTTGGTATTTTGTCCTGGGTCAATTCTGGGAATATTCTCTAAGGTCCAGCAGCCTGATTTCTTGTTTTCCTTCCACTATAGGTCATGAGTGACACTGACTATGAAGAGTGGCTAAAGAATCATTTTTTAGCTGAAACCAGCATTGACAACAGGGAGGAATTACTATTTGAGTCGGCCATGAGGTTGGAGAACAAACTAACATTACTTGGTAAGTAGACTGTTCTGTACTCTTCAAAGTGGATAATATTGAAAATTACTGTATGCCTCAAAAAATTTTTCACCATGCTTTTAAAAAAGAAAAAAAAATTACTTTGCTATTTATTTCTGCCTTCCCCTCTGGTCTGACCACTATCCAGCTTGCAATGCCTTCCATTCTGTTGTCCAATGCAGTTGGTGATAGTGTCAAAATGATGATCATTTAATATATGACTAGATTTATATAACATTGACTGCTAAGAAAATGAACAGGTTCATCCTGGAGAGGCTTAAATCAGGCTTCTCCTTAAAGGAAAAAATCTGAGGCTTCATTGGACATATTTTGGACATGTTGCAAGGAGGGATCAGTCCTTGGAGAAGGACATCATGCTTGGGAGGATGGAGGGACAGTGCAAGAGAGGAAGACCCTCTATGAGGTGGATTGATTCAGTGACTGGGGTAATGGGGGTAGGTGTGTTGTGACAGTGAGATTGGAACAGGATAGAGCAGGGTTTAGGGCTGTTGTACATAGGGTCGCTGAGTCGCAGGCGACTTGATGACACATGACAACAACAGCAGCAGATAAGATAGAGTCCAAAGCCAAGTAAATATCTTTGTTTAAGAGAAGGCAGTCAAAGTTTCTTGCCACGTATGGGATAAGTTATTAACATCTCTTTTCTTTTTTAACCTTCACAACAAATCTCTAGTTTATTAGCCCAAGTTGGGTTATAGAATGATGATTCAAGGACTTGTTCAGGTCAAAGTCACTGCTAATATCGGAGAAATTTAGGTTTATCAGACTCCAAGATCCATTTTCTTTATTCTGCACCTAGATTAGTGAAATTTATTTCTCTCTGAGGTCCTGCTGATTTTAATTAAGGATTAAACAACTGGCACCTCCTGTCTCAGGCTTCGTTGCACATTAGAATCATCTGGAGAGCTTTAAAAAATAACGATGCTGAATCCCATGCTTAGAGATATTGATTTACTTGATAAGGTGTATGACCTGGGCCCTGGAATTTTTAAAATCTCCTCATGTAATTCTGAGATGTCCCAAAGACAACACTGCCTTAGAGTCAGCTAGGGAATCTGATGTGAGTACTGACAATGAAGAGACCAAACTGAGTTCATTTTGCTCCTGAGGAGAAAAACAATTATCTGGTTTAATATCTAGTGAATAGAATAGTGATGCGTACTCCTAATTAGTTTCTCTGTGGCAGTATAAGTAAAATAGGTCCACATTCCTCTTAGGTAATTCCAAAAATTTCAAAAAATGATCTTATGGATTTAATGCTAAGCATATTTAGCAGCAAAATTAAGTTGATCTGGTGTAAAATTAATTATAGTTTTTTCCTGGGTGGAAGATCTCTGGTGGCACAGTTGTTAAGTGCTCAGATGCTAACCAAATGATGAGTGATTTAATCCCACCAGTTCACTCCATGACATGCAGAGGAAGCAGTCTGTTTTTGTAAAGATTAACAACCTTGGAAATGCTATGGGGCAGTGTTACTTTGTTTTGCAGAGACTCTCTGGGTGTGAATCAACTCTATGCCTTTGAATTTGGATTTTTGGTGTGTTTTATTCTACCTGGTAATAGACTCAACTATATGAGAAATTATGAGGATGGCACAGGATAGGATAGGACTGTTATACATAGGTTGCTATGAGTCATACTCGACTACATGGCACCTAACAACAATCCTACTTGGTGTACAACTTTGTAAGGTTTGCTACAGAAATGCTAATATTCTAGATTTACGTATATTTTGCCAACCTTGCTTGCTGATACTGAGGAGGATCTGAGGCATTTGCTGCAGAAGGTCAAGGACTGCACTGTTCAATATGGATTGAAGGTGAACATCAAAAGCAAAAATTCTCAACTCTGAGCCAATTGGCAGTATCATGATAGATGGAGAAGAAATTGAAATTATTAACAATTTTAGCTTGCATGGTTTCATCATCAACTCTCTTGGCACCAGCAGTCAGGAAATCAAAAGAGAAATTGCATCAGGAAAATCTGCTGTCTGGGACCTCTCCAGAGTACTGAGGAGCAATGATGTCAGTCTAGAGACTAAGGTGCACCTGATCCAAGCCATGGTCTTCACAATTACTTGTTATGCATCAGAGAGCTGGGCAATGGATAAGGATGACAGAAGAATAATTGGTGCCTTTGAACTGTAGTGCTGGAAGAGAGTATTGAACATACTATGGACTGCCAAGAGAACAAACAGGTTTGGCCTGGAGAGGGTGAAACCAGACCACTCCTTGGCGACAAGGATTTTGGAGCTCCATCTCACATACTTTGAACGTGTTGCCAGAAGGGGCCAGTCTCCCTGGATAAGGACATCATGATTGGAAGGGTGGAGAGAGAGCCCAGGAGAGAGAGACCCTGGATGAGAGGGATTGACATAGTAACTGTGCTACTGGGGTTAGATGTATCGGAGACAATGAGATTGGCTCAAGATGGGGCAGGGTTCAAAGCTATTGTAAATACGATCACTGTGAGTCACAGGTGACTCAATGGCACATAGCAACACCACCAACCATATTATTTTATTTCATATTTATTAAGATGAGTGAAAATCTGCAAAACAAGTTGACTTTCCATTGACCAATCCATACACATTTAGTTTGTGACATTAATTGCAAGTCCTATATTTAATTGATAATGAGGAAAACTCAACAATCTATGATATACAGATGACACAACATTGCTTTCTGAGAGTGAGGAGGACCTCAAATGCTACAGAAGGAAAAGGACTGTAGTCTTCAATATGGAATGAAGTTCAATGTCGAGAAGACAAAAATTCTCACCACTGGGCTAATTGGCAGCACTATGATGGATGAAGAGATTGAGGTTTCCAATAATTGCAGCTTGCTTCGCTCCACAATGAACACTCTTGGCACCAGCAGTCAGGAAATCAAAAGATGAATTGCAGTAGGTAAATCTGCTCTCAGGGACCTCTCCAGAGGGCTGAGAAGCAACCATGTCAGTCTAGAGACTAAGGTGCACCTGATCCAGTCCATAGTCTTTGCAATTACTTGCTGTGTGTCAGAGAGCTGGACAGTGACTAAAGATGACAGAAAAAGAATTGATACTTTTGAATTGTGGTGCTGGAGAGGAGTCTTAGACTGCTGAGAAAACAAATAGGTCTGTGCTGGAGAGGGTGAAACCAAGTTTCTCCTGGAGGCTAGGATTTTGAAGCTCTATTTCGCATACTTTGGGCATGTGGCCAGGAGAAACCAGTCCTTGGAAAAGGGCATCATGCTCAGAAGGGTGGATGGACAGCCCAGGAGAGGAAACCTCAAGATGAGATGAATTGATACAGTAACTTGGGCAATAGGGGTAGATGTGTTGGAGTCAGTGAAACTGGTTAGGGACAGGGCTGGCTCCAGAGCTCCAGTACACAGGGTTGCTATGAGTTGCGGGCACCTTGACAGCACATAACAACAACAACAACAGTGTAACAGCATTCTTCCCCCTTCCTCTCTTTTGCTACCATTTTCATCATCCTTTGCTGCTCTTCTTACCTTCTAAGCTTCATTCTTTAGTAAATGGCCTCCCTTTGACTTTTTATGATCCACTATTCTAACAATACATAGCTCTTTGGTTTTTTGTTTACCTTATAGACCTATTGTTTGGTCACAAGTTAAGCCATGTGGGTGAGTTGAGAGTTGCAGATTTGAATGATGTGGAAGGGCTGTAGTTTTGGTGTTTTTACCAGTCTCTATCAAACCCGTCAACTTGGTCATTTTTTTAAAAATTTATTTATTTCTTTATTTTTTTGTTTTGTTCCACTTTTTCTTCCATTTTCCCCAGGACCTTCTGTTGTGATCCCTTTCAGAGAGGTCTGCAGTGGTAGGTAGCTGGTCATATAGTTCTTCTGACCGAGGGTTTTGTAGGTTTTTATTTCCTCCACTGTTCTCTGCTTCAGATGGGGAGAGACCTATAGTTGCACATTAAATGTTCACTCACAAGCTTTTTTTTTTTAATTTAGGTTGTTTATTTTTCATTTCAATGAACATCTACAGAGATTTTGGGATTCCATTCATTCATTGTTGCACCCTTCTCCC